GAGCCCCACCGACGGCCCCAGTGGTTGCGCTCGCATGCGATCACCGCACCTATGTTGGCACACCCCTCTCACACTCCGCTGCCCCATACCATATGGGATTCCACGGACGGCCCCAGTGGCTGCGTTCGCATGCGCCACCAGCACCCATCTTTGCACCCCCCCATGTCATGCGGCCCCATAGAGAGCTTCATGGACGGCCCGAGTGACTGTGTTCGTACGCGCCCATGGCAGCAATTTAGGACACTCCTCACACGTTTCCTAGCCCCATAGGGGGCTCTACCGAATGCCCCAGTGGTTGCGTCCGAATGCGCCCACCGCACCCGTCTTTGCACACACACACACACCCACACGTTTCGCGGCCGCATAAGGGTTTCTTCCGAATCTGGTGAATACAATAACGGTGCTCACAACTGCATATGGTTGGATCCTTCGCCAGGCGAATGTTCAGTCCTCTTGGGGGCCTCGCAGGGCCTCTACGGGGGTCTCTAGGGCCTGGCCTCTTGGGGCCTCATGGGGGCTTCTTGGGGCGGAAGGCTCGAGCTGTCGGTTCGCTTTCCCCCTCTCGCGCCCTTCTTGGGGCCCTCTTGGGTGATATTGGGCGCCTCTTGGGCCGTTTTGGGGCCCTCTAGGACCGTGTGGGCCTTTTTAGGGGCCTACTGGGCCGTCTTGGGGCGGTCTTCGGGGGCGTCTGGGGCCATTTTGGAGCGTAGGAAGCCTGAAAACGCGAGAACGCGATCCACGTCGACGAACGGTTGAAGTATCAATAATAGCCTGTGCCTTTGTGGGCCCTCTTAGGGGTTCTTTTGGAGTGCTCTTGTTTTTGTTTTTTGTTTCTTGGGTCGTCTTCGGTCCATCTTGGGCGTCTTGGAGCTCTCTTGCGCTGTCCTGGAGGCCTCGTTGACCCTCTTGGGCGCTTTCTGGGGTCCCTTTGGCCCGCCTAGGGGCCCCTTCTGGCCTTTGGGAAGGTGGCGCGGGGAAACCCAGGAACGCGCTGGAGCGCCCAGGAAATTTGAACTGTGGGCCCCAGTCGTTAGAATACTAGAACACCAGAGTCTTGAGCACAGAGAGCAGAGGACACGTGAGAGCCTGGGAGTAAATCCACTTCGTGCCTCGAGGCACGGTGGCGGATGCCTCCTTGCCAAGCCACCGCCCCTGATAAGGTCTACCCAGCTATTCTGGCCCTGCGTTGCGCAAGGTTGGGTACGTCGCCAGGGTGATTTTATGACGTGCGGATCGTTCCCCCAAGGGAAATCCGTAAGTTCGCGGCCAAGCGTGCTCCTCAGCATCTGAGCGGGGGAGCCCACGCGCTTCCCAAGCTCCCAAAAGGATGGCGCTCGCAGAATGAGGTGCCAGTCAACTGTGATGGGCCTGAGAAAGAAGCTTCACGCCTTGAGGCTGGTACATCTGTCGCAGTTTCGAGGATGCATCTGATGTCTGCACTGGCAGTGCCTTTCAAGTGTCGTGACGAGTTTCGTGCGAGGATCGCCGCGACGGGGGCTTGTCGAGGCTGAGGCATTACAAACTGGTCAAGCCGAGCCTGCCCCCCAAAAAAGAAGTAACTTGGTGAAACACCCAACCATGTGCAGTTGTGAGTAACGCAGTTGTGAGCATCGTCATCCGGGGAATTCCCTACGGGGCCACGAAACATTTGAGTGATGCTCCAAAATGAGCGCGGTGGGCGCATGCGAACGAAGCTACTTGGGTCTTCGGTGGAGGGGCCACGCAATTGGTGGGCGGACGCACGTGAACACCGCACCTTGGCCCTTCAGTGGAGCTCCCTATGGGGCCGCGAAGTGTGTGTGAGGGATGCACCACAATGGGCAGCCATTGAAGCCTCCGGAGGCGCTCCATGTGGGGCCACGAAACGTGTGAGGGGTGTAGCGAAATTGGTACGGTGGGCGCATGCGAACGTCTCTATTGGGTCCTTCGGTTGAGCTTCCTATGGGGACACGCAACGTTTGAGGGGTGTGCTGAAATGGGTGCGGTGGGCCAAGCGAACGCAACCACTGGGGCCTTCGGTGGACCCCCCCCTATGGGAGCACGAAGCCTGTGAAGGGGTGTGACGAAATAAGGGCGGTGGGCGCATGCGAACGCTGCCAGTGGGGCTTCTGGTGGAGCCACCGATGGGGCCACGTAACGTGTGCGGGGTGTACCAAAAGCGGCGCGGTGGGCGCATGCGAGCGCAACCACCGAGGCCGTCGGTGGAGGTCCCTGTGGGGCCACGAAACGTGTGAGGGGTGGGCCGAAATTGGTCCGGTGGGCGCATGCGAACGCAGCCTCTAAGGGCCTTTAGTGGAGCTCCCTATTGGGCCGCGAAGCGTGTGAGGGGTGTGCCAACATGGGCACGGCGGTCGCGTTCGACCGCAGGCACTGGGACCTTCGGTGGAGCTCCCTCTGGGGCCACGAAACGCGCGTGGGGTGTGGCGAAATGAGCGCAGAGGGCGCATGCGAGCGCAGCCATGTGGGCTTTGGGTGGAGCTCCCCATGGGACCACGAAACGTGTGAGGAGCATGCCGGAATCGATGCGGTGTGCGCGTGCGAACGCAGCCATGTGGGGCCTTCGCTGGAGTTCTCTATGGGACCTCGAAACATGTGAGGGGTGTGCCAGAATGGATGCGGTAGGCGCATGCGAACGCAGCCATCGGGGCAGGCTGTTGAGCTCCCTAAGAGGCCCGGAAGCGTGTGAGGGGTGTGCTGAAACAAGCGGGGCGACCGCATGCAAATACCTCCACTGCGGCTTTCGGTGGAGCTACCTATGGGGGGCCACGAAACGTGCGTGGGGTGTGCCGAAAAAAGCGGCGCGGTGGGCGCATGCGAATGCAGCCATTGCGGCTTTCGGTGGAGGTCCCTGTGAGGCCACGAAGCATGTGAGGTGTTTGCCGATGTGGTTGATTGGTGCGGAGGGCAGAGGCAGGGATGGGAGGACGGAGGAGCGGGAGGAGAAGGCGGGAGGGAGAGAGGGAGGGAGGGACACGCGGCGGCGCTTTCTCTGCAGAGCGAGGACCCAACGCCGCAGGACGGTTGGGGAAACAGGGGCCTGAAAACACTGCAGTCAGTGCCTCGTTGCACGATGGCAGATACATGTGAGGAGAAGATGGGAAGGCAGGCAGGGGCCGGAGGAAGGGGGGAATGACCAGATCACGACTGCACTTCCAAGCCTCACAGTATCTGGGCTGGTGAGTTCGTGGACACCCGCCCCACTTGGGCTGATTCCAGGACTCGGATGGGGTGGCAGATGTCCGGGGGAGGAGGGAGCGCGATGCCTCACACTGCCCGCTACAACCAACAAGCAGGGCTTTGCCCTAGCACGGCTAATTACGTCGAGCAAGAATTGATCAGATGTCTTGCGTTGCGCGTAGATTGCCCTGCTGATGAAAGCGGGGTAGAGGGCATAGCGGAGGAACTTTGAGTTTCCATCACATGTGCGACACCTTTACTCAGTGACCATAGTCCACCTTTTTCGTCTGATTACTTTCCTTCCCTGCATGCTCCGCCTCAATGTATGTTTCTGGCCCTCCTCGCAGCCATTATCACTTATCCATCCTACTTTCCAGTTTCTCATCCGAGCGGTTCCGCCTCCAAGCTCACTTTGAAGGTGATGCAGGGCAAGCTTGCGCCACAGAAGGGGCAGCTCACGGTCAATAAGAACATGCGCGTTGGTAGTTTTGCTCAGCATCATGTCGAGGCGGTTTCGATCAGTAAGCACATTGCGGTCGAGCGCGTCGACACGTCGACCCGGCGTTCCATTGTTGAGTGTCCATGGCGATTGGGGTACCGCGGTCCACAGCGAGATTCGGCTTGTGGGGCAACATTTCGATATGGAAGGATTGCAGTGTATTGAGGGCTACCGTTCACGTTTCGTTGAATGCACGTGCGCCACCAGCGAGTGTCTGCGGACGCACGTGTTGCAATGCCAGGCACAGGTATCGAGTCAGACATGTGCAGCGAAACTGCTTGAACTGAGCACACCAATTACACGCTGGTCGTTGAGAGGAGGTATTTTGGGATCCCCAGAGCCCAATCTGCCTTAGGCGCCGTCATATGTCAAGAGTCTGGCGGTTTTCCCTCTTCCCTCACCTTCAGGGGGGTGTAGGCTCAATCGACTTCCAATGCCTTCCCACTTCATGTCTCTACCCATTTCTTCCGAACGACGGGCATCTAGGGTACCCTTGTGTCCTTGCCTCTGCGGCCCGTCCTTTGCCGTTTTCACTGGTCGCCCGCCGCCCGAAAAGTCCCAACGTCGGCCTCCAAGGGTCTTGCGTCCTTACCACCCGTCCTTACTGCACGCTTTCACTGTGCCGTCGTGGCGCCCATTGCGGCACAGATCTCGCGTGTCTCGTGCACCGTGGGGAGCCCCAAGTGCGGGCCCACTGGGGGCGCTCGACGGCGCGCCCGTGTCGACCTGCCCCTCGCGCGCTTCGTGCCCCATCGGGAGCCGCAGTTGCACGGCCACAGTGAGGGACGTTCGCGTGCCGTCGACGCTCCGATTCCGGGACATCCCCCACGCGCTCCGTGCCCCACAGGAAGCCTGCACTATTCCAAATCCTTTATTCATCGTCCTCCGGGTCCGGTTTTTGAAGGCGCCTTTTTTGTAACTGGGGGTGTCCGGTTTCTTAGGGCGCTTTATTTGGATTGGAGCTTAGGGGGTCCGGTTCATCAAGGCGCCCCGTCGAAGAGGGGGGTCCGGAATCTTAGCTCGCATTTGGAGGGGGGTCCCGTTTTTTAGGGGGGGGCGATGAAGAAGGGATTCGGCCCCAGAGGGGGCGTTCGCATGGCGTCGGCGCTCCAACTCCGGGACAGCCCCCGCGCGCTCAGCGTCGTGCCCCCTGTCCGACCACGGCGGGTGCGCTCGTGCACGCGGCCCGCCCCCCTCTGGGCCCACCCGGGTGGGGCGCACGCCTCGCGCCGTCGCTCCCCATCGACGAGCCCAGTCATGAGCTCCAGGAGGTGCTCTCCCCTGCAGAGGTCCTTTCTTTCGGGCGCCTTGTGCCGCGCACCAGGACGGACCTACGAGCACGAGGCAGCGTGGAAGCAACCGCGCGCGCTTCGCAGAGCTGGATGGACAAGCGATCTTGGTGAGATATGCGACGCAGCCATCTGATGCGACGGTCTCGGCAGTGAGAGGCGACACTGGCGCATCGAAAAGTTCCCCCTGGGAAGGCGACCGGGAAGCTGTGTCGGCAACCGTCCCTGAAGACGACGGCTTCGGTGACCCATGCCGCTTCTGGGCAGGAGTCGTGCCGCGTGCCGCCATCTGAATTATGAAATCAGGACTGGAGCCAAACGCTGTTTTGCTGGACTTCGGCTGTGTTTTGTTTGCCTTTTTGGCAGGGAGGTACACACGAAAACAGGTAGAGCAAAACGAAAACCAAACGAGAGCAAGAAATATCGTTTAGGTCCAGCCCAGTCTGACATCGGCATCCTCTGGGGAAAACTGCGTAGTATTGCAGGTGGCACTTCCTTGAGCCAGCTCCTGCCGCACTAGAAGGCGGCAGTGTTGTGATATTCCCGCCAGTGCCGCAGAATCGGGCCGTCTATGTGGACGGCTGGGGACCAGCCAGAAATCTACCAGGTGGAACGCATTGTTGGTAGTGCGCGCGAGCGCTGGGAGAAAACTCGCGTCGGCGAGAGGGGTGTGGCCGCAAGCCACAGCAGCGAAAGGCTTTCATTCCACCGCGCAGGCGGGTTCTCCCCACGCGCCGTTGGGCAGTCCTTGAAATCATGTTTGTCCCTCTTGGGGCGCTTCGCACGTCAGCCCTGCGAAGTCTCACTCGTCTCAACCTCCGGCGTCGCATCGGCTGGGAGCCGCCAGTGAGTGCAGATGTTGTCCCAAGAAGTTTGGGAAGAGACTTCGCCCACCGGGCAGGCCATCACACGTGTCCCGCATGGTCCTCCAAGCCGTACCGAAAGCGAGACAGAACACATCCTCCCATTCATATCTGTGGCCCATACCAGACATGCACTACACCATCTGCTCTGCGGCGTCTTTCGCTGAACGTCTGCGCCATTACCCAGAAGGCTCTGTCCCAGAAGCCGCGCGCAATCTGGAGAATGTTATTGCCGCTGGGGGACCAGAAGCACCGCTATCTCCAGGCACGCTCGAACACGGACTTGAGAGGCTTAGGGTTCAAAAGTACTTGGTCGTGTTCAGTGAACCAGCGCTGGATCATCTGGGAAGCCTGGGCATCGTACAACATGCGAGTTTCCACCATCTACTCCCTCTCTCCCTCACGCGGCGCGCACTTTCTGTAAACACAGCGTCACACCCTAAGCTACATACAGGTTATGAGGGCCCCCCCCCTGACCCTCTTGCTTTCCTTCTCCACATCATATTGCAGTTTCCCAGATTTCCCCCTCCTTCACATCCCCCTCTTCCAGCTCATCCTACCTCTCATCCCCTCTCGTTGTAAGGCGCAGTCGACCCCAGGCATCGTCATGAGCTCGACTCGATTCGACTCATGCTCATCCTCCTCCTCATCTCCCCCTTCTTGATCCGCTGCTTTCGGTTCGAGGTATTTGGGCCAGATTGGGGCAATTTGGGCGAGGACTATACTGTTCCAAAGACAATATGTGTGGCTTCTTTTGGCCGTTTGGGGGTGGGTTGCTGGCACTTGTTGCCGCGTTGGGGCACAACGGGTGCTGTCTGAGGTCGTTGGGCCATTTAGGTTGGTCGATGTATTCTCAGGGCAGGTATTCGACACATCGTTTTGGGATGCTTGGCCGTGAGAGACACAGACACAGGCAGTGACACTTGTGCGCCATGACGTGTAGCTCGCCGTTCACCTAATTGGGGGGCAAGTATCGCGAATATGTGTTACAGTGCCGCCATCGCGGTCCATGTTAATTCCAACTTCTTTGTTTGCATGCGCACCTTCGTTAATCTATCAATACGGTCAGCATGCAATCGCACGCGTGTTCGCATCAGTGAACACGCTGACCAATTCGCGTACGTCGAAGCACACGTGGCGCCAAAGATGCCACTATTCGCCCTGTCCCGCGCACTGGTTCGTGAGGTTCGTTGACGGGCTTTCAGGCTACCTCACCGTAGTGACAACGAATTAGTCTTCCGATGGCCAGTTGGTTGCGCACACCACAGTTGTGGTGCGTTCAACCAACGAGTACGATGACTAGTACGACGACGAGGTACGACGACGAGTACAACGACGAGTACGACGAAGCCGAGTGCGACGACGACAAGTACATGTGCCCGTGTTGCGGTAAGATGTTGCATTCATTTGCAGTCCTTTCTCAGATGGCACGGTCGCTAGTCAGACATGCGCTGTTTGTTGCCAACGTTCTTGGGAAAACAGTGTCCATTAGGATCTGGTTGATCCGATTCGATATCGGCTATGGTCGGCCCGAGTCGTTTCGATTGCGATGTTCGGGCAATCCGATGCGGCTCGATGCTTGCATGGCTCGGCGGCGGGCGTGGGGGGGAAATGAGAAGGGGCGGGACTTCCGAGGCTTCAGAGAAGTTTCTGGACTTTTCTGAGAGGGCTTCTGAGAGGGCTTCTGAGAAGTTCTGTCTGTATTCGAAATAGCCAAAGGAAACGTCTCAGAAGCCCCCCCGGACTTCTAAGAAGTCCCGCGGCCTTCTGAGAAGGCCTTCTCCTTCTCATTTCCCCCCTGGGCTCGTCGCCTGATGGCGCTGTTCTGCATCCTGGCCCCGCCGATTCAAATTGGTTTCGACTCCGAGCCGCTGCGGTCCGACTCGCTGCACGCTCCGATCCGATCCGAGCTCCCGATCCGCTGCTGGGTGTTCCTGGATGTGGTGGCCGCTGGCCCGCTGCCTCGTCAGCGGCCAGGGGTGGTGTGCTGGGCAGTGTCCTGGAATCCGGGGGTCGTGGGGAATTCGGAGGAACAACCACCCGCACCGGACAATTGGCGTTTACTACACGGCCTTGGGCGTTTACTGAGCAGCCCCGCCCTGTTCGATTCCTCCTTCGGGCGCGTTTCCTGAGCGGCTTCGCTTGTCGGGGTGGTTATTATCGGGGTGGATCTTCTGCCCTCTGAGGGAGAGGACGAGCGCAGTCGTCGTGCTGCCGTCAGGAACGCAAGAAACAAGGAACGACGGGGATTCTTGTGGCCACGGTGGGCCCGGGCCACGCACAGGAAGCCCACGGCAGGAGTCCAGGGAGCGGCCCGAAGACCTGAGCGCCTCCCGTCGGAGGTGGGCAGACCTACCCTAACGCGTCGATTAAGGAATTGGCCGTTTTCGGTTCGCGAGAGGGCGTCGCGGCCGTCATGTTTGGGTCCAGGTCCGTCGGTTTCGGTCCCAGGCCGTTTTCGCTGAGGGGAGGTTTACTAGAGGGAGGTTTGTTCACCGCCGCTCCCGAGCCCAGAGCGGTCTGTGCTTCAGCGTCTTGACTGAAAGGCAGGACGGCATGGTGGGTCGCGGAAGCGTGGGGCCGCCGTGAGGCTTTGGACTTGCAGGCCACGTGCGTCGACTGTGTTCAGCAGAATTATCCAGGCCTCAGCGACCAGGAGGCGCGCGCTCTTTTTCTGCCTGACCGTCATCGGCGGCGAGCGAGGGTGGGAGGGGCAGTGAGGAGGAGAATGCCTTCCCAGAGGGTTCAGAAGTCCCCCGGCCGTGTGAGAAGTTTTCTAATCTTTTCCCGAATAGTTACGCAACAATTCTCGGAAGGCGCGAGGGGGTTTCTGAAAGGTCCCACTGAATTCCGAGAAGGCCGTCTCCTTCTCACTTCCCCCCCTCGCTCGCCGCTGGCGTCAGGCTGCCCAGGTGTCCTTCAGGCCCCTTCGCACGGCTCTGGGTTCAACCTCCGTTTGCATTCTGATCCGTTGGCCGCCTCTTGTCTCTTTTCGCCCCTTGGGCAGGGAGGCAGGGACTGCGAGAAAGCTTGGTGGGGTAGTGCTTTGGGCAGGGACTGCGGGATTCCTTTGGGCAGGGACTGCGAGGCCAGGAGGAGGTGTGCGGCACTTCTTTGGGCAGGGACTGCTCGAAAACTTGATGGGGTCAAGCTCTTGTTCCAGCGGTGGGCAGACGGCGAGAGGACGTCAGACGCGGAGGGGTAGACGAGGGCTGCACGGGCAATGGTAAGCTGCAGTGTGCATCAGGGACCTATACATGCCTGAATGGCTCGAGAGAGAGGGGGGGGAAAGGAGGGAGTGGACAATGGACAGAGGGAGAGAGGGAGAGAGAGAGAGATATAGAGATAGAGAGAGGGACAGCGATAAATAAGTTAATATGTATTTTGATACCATTTCCATATGTCTGTCTGTCTGTCTGTCTGTCTGTCTGTCTGCATGCATGTATGCATGTATGTATGTATGTATCTATGTATGTATGTGTATGTATGTAGCTATATATATAGTGGCCCAATTGGCCCATGACGCCAGCAACAGCGCAGCCGCCCGCGAGCGCTGCAATTTCAAGGCACCTTCCCGGAGCCATGACGAGGTGAATCCCCATCTGCCCGCTCAGCCAGATTCATGTTCGGCAAGGGCGTGCAGAGAGTAAAGCGTTCGCCTTGCCCTGCAGGCAGAGGATACCGCAAGGACGTTGTACTAGCTGCTGCTCGTCGTGGCGATGCTGCCGCAGCAGCGGTTCCGCTTGATGACGTCTGCGATGAACACTCGATTCCCGCAGCCTTTCCGCAAAGACAGCGAAGTGGACGACGTTGTTTTCAAAACAGATACTTTACACGCGCATTTGTCAAACTTCTGTCCGATCCTGAAGCCAACCTACAACGAGTGCGTGATGGAATCGAGGACGTAGTATTGCAGCAGCAGCTGCGAACCAAGACGCTGCAAAACGCACCATCACTTCCAAAGGGAAGCTTCCAGAATCAGACGCTGTGTCGATCATCATCACGACGCGAGCCCTGAACCATCATCGGACGAGTCCGACGAATCGGACGAGATAGAGAAGGTGATTAGACGAAGACAGCCTAGACAAAGATGAGTCCGATGAGCAGTATGCCACATCAGGCTGCGAGGAGGCGATGGTGGGCTTCCCGTATATAACTCGTAGTGGTAAGAGCAGGGTGACAGCAGCATCGCGGAGACATGCAAACCTTGTGCTTCAACCGGGGCTGTTTCGCTCAATCCATCACGTGCGTTCCCCAACGTAATCCTGTTTTTGCAGCGCAGGTATACTTCAAAGTTGGGTGTTGTTCTGTTGCTTGCACATGCCATCCTAGTGAACGTTTGTGAGATGTTCATTATTTTCCCGTTGGCGGCGAGGTCCGGCATTGCAGCTGCATGTGTTTCGCATTCGGTTTAGCTGAGCTGCGTTTTGTCTACGAACTTACCGCTTCTAGGCATAAGCAATGCACGCTGCAGTCTCCAGTTAAAGGTATGTCGTTCTGGTGACGGTTGCACCCGCCTCTTCTTGTAAATATTTCGAAATTGGCTACTGCGTGGTGGCGGGTGTGGCTCGGCTGCGCCACCCATGCTGCGTTGGGCACTGGTAACCCGATCAGGGGTGCATTTGCGCCAGAAATAAAGAAAGAGTGTGAGAGAGAGAGAGGGGAAGGAGGGAGCGAGAAAGAGAGATGGGGTAACCCACCAATGCGGAGGACTTGGTGGCGTCCAAAACCCGGAGAGACCGGAGAGCGAAAGCAACACACACCGGTAAGCTTTCCTGGCGAGCCCTCGGACGCTCTCGTGAAGCCCTTCTGGGGCTCTGGGGGCTCCCCTGCAGCGCTTCTGAAGCGCTGCCAGGAACGCTTCCACGCGTGCCTGCACGCGTGCAGGCACGCGTGGACGCGTGCCCGAAGCGCTCCCGGACGGGCTGCGAGGTTTTACAGGCCGCTGCGAGGATCCTGGACCGGCGGAGATGGGCTGCTGGCAGGCACCACCACTGTCCGGCTTCTAATCTAAAACCCCTTAGTTCTCAGAGAGCTCTCCGGGAATTTCCGAGCCGGTAGCGGGAATCGGCTGCCCGCCCGCAGTCTTTTCCCTACCTAGGCTCTGCCTAGAAGGGTTCTTACTCGGTATGCTTAAAGGACCGGGCAGTGGGGCCCGCCCCGGGCGATTCCCCCAGCATCCGCTCCGCGGTTCCCCTAGTTACGTCCTTTTAGCTTAGCGTTGCTTACCTCATCTTAACTTAGCTTATTTCATCTTCGCATAGCTTATCTTCATCTTAGCTCAGGTTTGTCTTACCTTAGCTTACCTTCACCCGAGCTTCGATGAGCTTTAGCATAGCGTAGCACGGCATATCATAGCATAGCATAGTATAGCATCGCATAGCGCAGCATAACATAACATAGCATAGCATAGCGCAGCATAGTATGGCATAGCATCGCATAGCATAGCACAGCAACTAATGCTGCTTTCATAAGGGGCTCCGACTTCTAGGTAGGGTCGCACTTGTTTAATTTTATTGAGGCCGAACGCAGTCTCAATTGAAACAATTTTTTCGAAACGAAGCCCCCTGGGCGCCAGATCGATTGCTCAGCGGGAGCAGCGCGGTGGCTGGGGCGAATCGCCCCATATTTGCGCGGTGCGAAACGACGGGCTGTCGCTTGGGTCGACGACCTCTTTGGTTTGTGGGCGTCGGCAGCGGGCGGCGCCGCGCGCGGGGCGGGCGACCCCGGCGCGGGTGGGCGCGGGACCGCGGACAGCGCGCCAGGCGCCGCACCGGGCTCGAGGGAAATCATTATGGAACGCGCGCAGACGGCGCCCTCTCAGGGAGGGGCCGCAATGGCGTTTCCGAACTAAACGACAGCGGCGGCACGGCCGCCCACTCATCCGCCCCAGCCGCCCCGCCCGCTGCGCACATGGGCGCAGCCAGCGCGGCGCGGCGGCCAGGAGAGAGCAAGGGGGGCGCAAGGGCCGCGCCCCCCCCACGGCACAGAGGGGGCTTGCAGTAATCCTGGCAGAACCAGGTGCCCAGGACGCCTCAGGCCGGGGAAGCCCCCTGAGGGAACGCGATGGCTCCAGCTCCGTCGGGAGCTGCAGTCGACTCGTGAAGGGCAGCGCGTGGGCGCGCGTGCACCGAGCGGGGTGGCGGCAAGGCAGACCACCGCCAGCGCGGGGTTGACAGCGCGAAGCGGCGGACGGTGTTGCCGTTGGGCTGCGCCCACGTCTGGCGACGGGATGAGCGGCCTTCGCGCAGCTCGCGGAGCAGGCTGGACGGATCAGGAGACGAGGGCGGAGACGGCCAGGTTGGGCGGGAACGAGTGGGCGGCGTCACCTATCGTGAGCGCGACGACCCAGCGTTCGTTTGCCTCATCCGATCGGCCGACGAGGCTGCCGTGAAGGCCGTTGATGGGGTGGCGCTTCTCGTTGCAGACGATCGCCCCGGTGCCCGCCCGGATGGGCGCGGCGGGGGGGCGGCCGCAGGGCCAGCGTCGGCCGGGGTCTTGGCGCGACGGCGCAGTGACAGCGAGGTCGTGGGCGTCGGCGAGAACCAGGTGGTCAGCTGGGGTCCAGCCGCGCTCAAGAGGGCGATGCCGGCTGGGCGGTCGCCCGGGCGCCGCGCGCAACGCGCGCGCAGGCCGCTTGCGGGCGTGGCAAGCGGTTCCAGTGGAGGTGGGGCGACAGAAGGGTTGCACTCGACGATGGGTGCTGTCAGGCGATGGTGGCCGCCTGGCCAGCCGCTCCATTGTCGGCGTCGCACGCGAGGGTCAACGAGCTTCTTTGGACGGGGCGGGGCCACCGATCCAGAGTCGACTTCAGTTCGGCCCTCGTCGGCAGCGGTCGCGGAGAGCCCGCCGCGGGGGGCAATTCGTAGATGTTCCGGGGTGGGGATTGGTGGCGCCGGGGGTCGGCGCGTCGGTTGTCGGTCGTCGGGCGTCGGTCGTCGGCCATCGCGGCGGTTGGCGCCGCGGCGCGAGCGGTCGTCGTCGGGCGGTCGACGGTCGCCCGCCACTCGTCGGCCCCTGGGCGACTGTTGCGGGGCGCCGGACTCATGGCAGCTGGCGTTGTCGTCGCCGTCGTCGGCGTCGTCGCCCTTGCGCCTCATTGCGAGCGGGCGGGGCGAGGGTTGATGGCGGGGGAGGAGCGGGGGCTCGGTGCGACCGCGACGACGGGCGCGCGGCGACGCGGCAGGCGCTCTGGATGCAGCCCTCGCGCGCGGGGAACGGCGGTGGCGCGCCGCTCTGGTGAGCGGCGCGAGGGTTGCGGTGAGGGCGGCGGGCGCGGTGCCGTTGAGACTGGAAGTGGGCGCGAAAGAGCCGACGTGCTCATCGTGGCCCACTGGCCCTTGTTAGTTAACTTCGTGCAGCTGTAGATCGCGCGCTTCCTGGGATTGTCGCGCGATCTGGCGACGCCGTCTCTGGGCCGCGACGGGCGCGCGCTGCGCCCGCCAGGCGGCGGGCGGCGGGGGGGCGGCTGCGGACTGCCCCGGCAATCCGGGCAATTGTGGGGGGGGCAGCGCGGGCCTGTTCGCGCGCGCCGCGGCGGCAAGCGGGCGCGCGCGGCGCGCGGCCCTGGGCCAGGGCAGCGGCCGTCGCGGTTGAGCGCGCAGCAGAGAGCGGGGGTCGCAGGGGTTTGCTCGGAGGGCCTGCAGATTGTCGCGGAGG